AAAAAAAAAAAAAAAAAAATTCACATAATATGTAGTCCAGGCTGGCCTCAAACTGCCTCAGCCTCCCTAGTGCTAAGATGACAGGCATGCACTACCACACCTGTCCTCAGCAAATATTTTGCCTCCTCATCTTCACATCTCAGTGGAAATATCATGTTCCTGACAATCCCATCCCCTCAGCACAGCCAAAGTTCTGACCTCTATCACTCTGGTTTAGCACTGTCTTATTGTCTTCATGGCACTTCTTCCTTATCATCTGTCCCACAGTGAGCTCAGAGTCCCTGTCTACTTGTTTACACTTACTCATTGTATTTAACGGCACTTAGATGTAACAGGTGTTAATGACCATTCACTGAAGAGAATAACAGCGGAAATTATACTGAGTTAATACATATTTACTTCCTACAGTAGAGGAAACTATTATTCCATTTTACAGATGAGAAAACTGAGCCCCACCTTAAGTAGACCTGGTCCAAAACCAAGTCAGTGACAAAACTAGATTCCAAACATTTTAGCCAGGCACGGTGATACATGCCTGTAATCCCAGCTTTTAGGGAAGCTGAAGCAGGAGGATCTCAAGTTCAAGCCCCGCCTAGGCAATTTAACAACTTGACCCTATCTCAATGTAAAAAGCTAAAAAGAGCTGGGGAAGTAGCTAAGTGGTATAGTGCCCCTAGCTTGTATCACCAGTACTGCAGGCTGTCAGTCCCACCTATTTTATTTAGCTTTTTAGCCACTAATCTGTGCTGACCTTCTGTGATTGTGTGAATATTGAGTACCTGCTGGTGTTGGGCAGCAACACACAACAAAGATCTGGCCTGGGTCACCTCACAGTTTCAGCCCATCAGAGACAACAATTCCACAAGGAAACATACCGTTATGTACGACCACCTGGGAGGTAGTCTGTTTGTTGGGGGAATGTAGTAGGGAGCTTGATGTCATCATTAAAGGGGGCAAGGGGCCGGGGATGTAGCTCAGCGGTGCTGTGCCTGCCTGGCAAGTGCAAGGTCCTCAGTTCCATTCCAGGTACTGGGAAAACGAAATCATTATGCATTAAAGGGGGAGATATGCTGGGAGGTCCTGGCTGGCCTCCTTGCTGTAGAGGGCATTCTGTTCCAGACTCCTGTAGCCAGCAGTTCAGGTTAGAGTTTGGAAAATTAATTTTCTTTTACTTTTTTTTTTTTGGTACCGGGGATCAAACTTGAGACCTTGGGCTTGCGAGGCAGGCACCGGCACCGGAACCACTGAGTTAAATCCCCAGCCTTTTCTTTTGTTTTTGAGGCAGGGCTTTGGGATGTAGTCAGGTTGGCCTTAAACTTACTTTGTAGCCCGGGCTGGCCTCAAACTCTCAGTGATCCTCCTGCCTCAGCCTCCCAAATGCC